GATTGCTTTTTAAAAGATACTGCATTCGATAACGAAAAGCGGACTGTCAAATGGCAGACTGTGGGTCTTTGGTGGGTTTGGAAAAGTTGTCAAAACTAATCCTGTGCATTGCKCAAAAACGCGAAAACTAGTGCTACTTTATAAATGAAAAGAACATATATAGACAAGAGCTTCTAATATATTTTCTCATAACATCGTTTGCTGAGTACAAATCTGACGGCAAAAATATTTGTAATGACAAAACTGAACTGCACATTGCGACTTTTGTCTAGGGTATAAGGGTAGCATGATATACATGTAGCATCAATTGTAAACGGCGATGAAGCTATACTCTTAGCTCTCTCTAGTACAGATTCGTTTTTGGTTTTATTAATCTACTTTTATTGATACTCCTATTTTTATTCTTTACCTAACAAAAGAAGAGAAAAACAATACTTGATATAATTCCTAGTGTTCCCCCAACATTCCCGCGTGCTTTTATATATTACCGATAAACCACCCTTTATTACTGAATAATCGATTAACTTCCTGGTACATAACAAATGGTCATGACTTTATATGGCATTTTGTGGCTCTTAACAGAGCTGTTTTGTTCTGTTTTGTAAAAGCCATCTATCTTTAACTCTACACATTCTAAACATTCCGACGAGACAAGAATTCCATGTGAAAATTATTTTGACAGATTGGATACGCGTTTGAATTAAAACAGAAACAGAAACATTCCCTGTCAATGTTTTGGGTAAATCATAATGACACTAAGTTGAAATCACAGAACACAAATACTGTATTTACAGACTAAAAATCGGGCGACGTTGGATGACGTCCGATAGGTCTTTCGTTGATCAAATTTGCAACTTCAAAGAGTACTGTTTGGAGCTCTGAAAAGGTTAGGATACTTTCTCCAATTGCAGCCCTAAGTGCTCTTTTGACTGATCTGATGAGAGATTCTGAAGTTCCATTCTGCCATGGTGCATCAGCTGGCGTGAAGTTCCATTCAAAGCCTTCCATAACTCCAAAATCCTTTAACTTCTCCCAGTCCCATGACTTCGTAGCACTCTGAAGTTCCTTGCTTGCTGCTACGAGCTGTGTGCCATTGTCGGAGTAGATCTTTGAAGGGTAACCTCTGAGCGACACAAATCTCCTCAGTACCATAAGAAATCTTTCTGTGCTATAGTCAGGYGCAAGATCCAAATAGACAGCTCTGGTTCCAATACAGTTAAATATCACTCCATACGCCTTTGATGTAGTACGCTTCTTGACTGCATCACGAATAGTGAAGGGCCCGAATAAATCAACGGATGTTGAATACCATGGAGGTGAAGGCTTGAGTCTTTCTTCAGGAAGACTTCCCATCACTTGTCCTGATAGCTTTTTGTCAAGCTTCTTGCATGTTACACAGTTAAGCTTTATAGATTTAATCACTTTGAGTAATTTTGTTACACAAAACTTTGAACGGATCTTGCTTGCCGTAGTGAGAACTCCATGATGACCTTTAGCATGAATGTATTCACAGTATAGTCTAGTAAATCGATGCTGAGATGGCAGGARTATTATATCCTCTTTATTGTACCCGATTTCTAGCCATTTTTCAGCACGACCACTTATTACATATATCCCGTCATCTCGTAGTCGAGGACACAAACGCCTATACTTTCCATCCCTTACATCTTTTACAATCGTCTGCTGCGCTTCTTTGATCCAAAATATCTCCGCGAACTCTACATCTCCACTTGTTAATCCCTGTACCGCGTTCTTCAAAGTAACTTTAGGTCTTCTTTGATATAACTTTAGTATTCTGGCGGTTACTCGCAGCAGTCGGTTATAATCTGAAAATCTTTCGATCTTGATCCTGGACGCCAGGTCGTCTTTCAATTTTATATGAACTGCGTTAACCACTTTCGTGAGCGTCTTAGGGATCCTTGCTTCAGAACAATYGCGGGTGATAGGCCACTCACGTTCAGGTTGTTTGAGGAAGGGAGGACCTTCTTGCCAATCACTGTGAAGACTAATTTCACTTGGCTTCTTTCCCCGAGTCAACCAATCCGCGATGTTATACTGACTTTGACACCAATACCAATCTTCGATGTTGGTTCCTCCTTGAATCTCACCGATTCGTGTAGCCGCGAAAGTGTTGAAGCCATAAGAACTTTTCTGTATCATTGCATGAACTATCTGAGAATCTACTATGTAATAACATTTCTCAAAGGTATATCTGCATTCTTTATCAATGAAGGATTTAAGACGTTTGCTCAGCACTGCTCCGCACAGTTCTACTTTGTCGATCGACAACTTTTTTATGGGTGCAAGACGATTTTTAGAAACTATCAAGTTGCACGCATATCCTCCACCCTGTCGTTTCCATCTTACATATGCACAAGAACCATATGCATCCTCTGAAGCATCACAGAATATGATAAGTACGGGATTGCAAACTGCGTCTGAAGGTTTTATGCATCTTTCGARTCTCACTTGATTCATTTCGGGTAATTCGTCAAAGAACGATGACCAATGTAGTTTATTTTCGTCTGGAATTGGGTCGTCCCAATCTAACTTTTCAGCACTTGCCCATAAATGTCGCATTAAGATCTTGGCTCGTACTGTGAAGGGTCCGGCCAGTCCTAGAGGGTCGTACATACTATTTACTTGTGACAATATCATGCGYTTCGTAAGTGGTGRCGTAAGCTTCGGATCCCTAATAGGRTTGAGCTTCTGCATCTTGCGTTTCTTCTTGGAGCAGAAATTGAGTTTTGCTGAGAAGCATAATTGGTCTTTGAYCGGGTCCCAGATGACTCCTAGCACCTTTTCTGTCGCTGCGTTTGGCTCATGTGGTAAGGCCTTCTCACTATTTAKTGAGTCGCGGGAATAGATCCAATCCTTCAGTCGAAATCCGCCCTTGATGATTAAATTCTCAATGTCTTGTGTTAGCTTATGTGCAGTTGGAATGTCCGCGGTACTTTCTATGATGTCATCCATATACGTGTTGTGCTGCACTATCGTTGCGGCATCAGGGTACTGCTGGCTTCCCATTTCTGCTGTTTTGCGAAGGGCCATTGTAGCAATTGTAGCTGAGGGTTTATCTCCAAACGAGACTCTTTGTATTACATAGGTGTCAGGTGTTCTGTCYGTGTTCATATCCCTCCACAAAAAGCGGTGAGTATGTTGATCCAGTACTGTTGTTTTAACTGTGTGGTACATTTTTTTGATGTCACCTATGAAAGCTACTACAGTGCTATCGAAAGCAGGGCCAAAAAAATAAATTAGAAAACAAACCAACCCTATTGCAGCTTTAAACTCAAGCTATCTAATTAATGTGGAAAAGCTTGAATTTAACTGGTCAATGCTGTATCATTGTACGTCCATTGTATGTTATTAAAGTTTCCCCACTGTAATAACTAGCGTTTCTATAAAAAAATACTATAGAATATTCTAAAGTTTTGGAAACATTGTTGTTTCACCATTTTTCAAACATTGACACAGATGTGGACGCATTTTAGAGTTGAAACCATAGACAAGGTAGGTTGCAAATGCAATTGCAAATACTCCACAGTCACTTCCATTTAGTTGTTGTTGGACTGGTACACTGACCAAACCAATGTACAATCCCGGAAAGCGCCGAAATACTCCCATTTCTCATCTTTCTAAAAAGTCACTATTTCTGATCCTCCCCTCCCCCMACAGTTCAATGTTGTGTGTYAGACGTGATGCTAGAAGGGTGTGCATGAATGTTCAGCTTCAACATTGATTTGAGGGAGAAAGGGGGAGATTTTTTACAGAAACTACGCCGATAGGTCATCGAAATTCAATCTATTTCAAGAAATGTTTGAACAGTTTTGTCCGAGATTGTATTTTGACAGTATTTGATTTTTACGTGAAACATGAATGTTAGCATAGTAAAAGTGCTTATAAAATATTAGATATCATGTGCACAAACTTTAACATGTACCTTTTTAGCTTAAAAAAACACGGGTAAGAAGTTACGATCAAATAAACAGTATCGCGCTACTTTGTGTCAAACCAAAAAATATGCCCATTGCAATTATATTATGTCGCAATCTCGACCTTTTAAACGACTATGGAGCGATTACTAGAATATGAGAGCGAAAATTCCGACATAGAGCAACACCCGAACATACTGCTGAAACAGAATCATTGAAAAGGAATGCTGTTAGAAGTACATATCTTGTTACTTACAGTCAAGCTGATACTGAAAAGTTTGCAAAGCGCGCTGAATTTGCCTCGGCGGTTGTAAAATCTTTCTCGCGAGGTTCAGCTAAAGTATTACACTGGTGTTGCTGCCGTGAGCCCCATAAGGAATCTGGCCAGCACTACCAATATTGTCTAAACTCTAGCTTTACTCAGATTGTAAACCCGTTATTGCATAAAAATAATTATTCCTTATTTTTAATATTGTTAGACATCAGTGAAAATGAGTGAGAATAAATCCAAGGGTGTGTTGTAATTTTATTATTGTATATCATAGTAGTAAGGGCACATTGACCATAAAATGATAAGTCAAATTTTAGTCAATATTAATCATATTGAAATGTACAATGCTGAATCAGTTGAGTCAACATCAATTTTCCCCATTTCCTTTCTTCCAATTACACGCATTGACACACTCATTAGAATGCAATAAATATATAATATTGTATATTACATGTACAGTATAGTATTTATGTTTGTTCAATATGAACTGAAATCTCTTTGTTATGTACATACTGACAATTATTTACAATTACTTTTTACAATTAACAGTGTTTTTCAGTTATTTGCTTTTCTTGTGTATTTTCTTTTTATCCTTTCAAGATTCTCAAGCCTTGCAAACAACTTCCTGTTTTCCTTTTCCATAACCTGTTGAGATTAATGCAATCAAGAATANATTAGGACAATAGAGGGTATTGGGACAATAGAGGGTATTGGGACAGTAGGGGGTATTAGGACAATAGAGGGTATTGGGACAATAGGGTGTATTGGGACAGTAGGGGTGTATTGGGACAATAGAGGGTATTGGGACAGTAGGGGTGTATTGGGACAATATAGGGTATTGGGACAGTAGGGGTGTATTGGGACAATAGAGGGTATTGGGACAATATAGGGTATTGGGACAATATAGGGTATTGGGACAATAGAGGTTATTGGGACAGTAGGGGTGTATTAGGACAATAGAGGGTATCGGGGAATAGGGGATATTAGAAAAGTAAGGGAGTATTCTACGCGTTCATACTAGGTCATTTTAAGGCTAGCTTTTGGTTTTTTAGCACCTGGACGTCTGTCAACACAATACTAATTAAAGCTTGCTATTATTTTCAACTCGTTCACATTAGAAATGACCGTGTCGTAAACATGGAAGAAGTTGTGCATGAATTGATGCTACTGCATGTACTCGATGTTTTTACTTCTTTCAAGTAACCGAAWATTTAGTTGATCGTCATAAGTACTCGATGAGCGTTTTCTTTTGCTGAAAAACAATCGTAAATATTACATTGAATCGGATCAACTTTAAATAATTTAACTTATGTATATTTATGTAAAGAGTTACAAGGTATAAACTTACTTTTGCTTGTAAAGACAGTCATAATTTATGCCCTAGCACCAGAGACTGCACAAGCAGCACAAGCGGGGCCAGAGGCACATATGAGCTATGCCGTCTCAGATGAAATGTCAGTTGTATCATGTTGATGACTCACGAAGAACAAACAAAATTCTGTCAAAGTGAACACCTGGTTTTCCAGTTAAAACCATGTAGTGAAGTGGTTTTAAAATTTTACGTTTCCGGCGTAAATTTCTAATGTGAGCAGGGCTTAACTAAAAAAAGTGCCGAGAATGAAAAAAATTAAATCGCGCTTTAAAAAAGCGTTCACACTGGTCTTAAGGTTAAAGCGCGCTTTAGAACCAATAAAGCTACTTCGAAAACCTAGTGTGAACATTGAGACAGTAGGGGCGATTGAGACAATAGAGGGCATAACTTCACGTTGGTTTAATTGACATTGATTGAATTGTGTATCAAATCAACAGGTAATATATTTTATTAATCACTTGACTAACATTCAACAACTTGGGTTGGGTTGTGCCGCACGACCCTCAGAACCCTTACCCTATCCCAGACCAATTTTTGTCATTTTGCATACCCTACCCCAGACTAAAAGTACAAATTGTAGACCCTATCCCAGAATAAATCTAAAAATTGTTRTTACAGACTAACTCGGTCATATCACATTTCGTTAACAAACATGACTGACAGATTACTATTTTAGCGCTGAAAACGTGGCCTAGSCGATACAATCACAGCAGAAAATCGCCACCCTACCCCAGACAATGAAGACTATACCCTTTCCCAGACAAATGGGCAAAAAATGACACCCTATCCCAGAGCTCCGAAAAAGGGACCCTATTTTCCGGCACATACCTGTATAGCAAATATAGGGTAGTTACCCCCCCCCCCCCCCCGGGGATTGGCATAGGGTATATGGTGCCGGAACACCCTTGGTAACAGGAACGAATAGACTTCACATTAGAATTATAGAAACTTTTTTGATGAAATATTATTATATTTAGTGCTTTCCTTTCCTTTATTACATTTAGGCCCAAAGTTTATTACATTTAGGACCGTTATTACATTTAGGGCCTAAGTTTATTACATTTAAGACCGTTATTACATTTAGGGCCAAAGTTTATTACATTTAGGACTGTTATTACATTTAGGACATTTTATTACATTTAGGCCTTCAACAGAGGTGTGAGATAAACTTGTTAACTAGATTTCAATAGAATGATTAAACTGATATGCATGATGATCGTGAATAGATGAACAGTTGACAATGCTTGCAGTAGTACTTAATGAAAATTGGTCGTATTGCCGCTTATTATTAGAACTCCAAAAGCAAAAAAAAACTTTGCTTTTAAGGTTTTTCTAAACGAACCAATGACTGTATGGACAGTAGATGGCTCTTCAAAAGCTATATCTGGTTTCGGTCGTGAAAGCTTAAAACAAAAGCGAACAATAGAGGCGGACGGTTTAGTAAGAACCATTCTTTCACGAGAGGTGTGAGATAAACTTGTTAACTAGATTTCAATAGAATGATTAAACTGATACGCATGATGTTCGTGAATAATAATAATAATAATAATTTATTACTTATATTGCCCATACTCCATGAGAAGATGCTCGCATGGGCATTACATAACATTAGAATAGATAAAAATACAACTATTTACAATATATATAGTTATAAAAGTGTCTCGACTATCTTGGGAAGGCCTTTTCAAACAAGAAGGTCTTAAGATGCTTCTTGAATTCGGAGATCGATGAGAGATTACGTATACAGAAGGTAAGACTGTTCCATAAGAAAGGTGCGGCTACTGAAAACGATAGATGAACAGCTGACAATGCTTGCAGTAGTAATTAATTAAAATTGGTCGTATTGCCGCTTATTATTAGAACTCCAAAAGCAAAAGACTTTGCTTTTAAGGTTTTTCTAAACGAACCAATAAAACTTATCAAATGTTACCATAAGGCAGTATGCTTATTGTTTTTTGGGTATAAGGACTATGCCGATCAAGCTAAAAGCAATGCATTATGATTGGTTGAAGACATTCGCCCTGTG